ATTTTTAATCTACACTTACATGAAGAATACTATGTTTACTATGCTCTCCCCTATATCAGGTCCCCCCTAACAACCACATTATGGTTACTGTCCATCAGCTTATGATTTGCTATATTTTATTTAGAATCTTACATCAGTTTTCATAAATGAACAACCCCTATGGTATAATTTCATACTGTTATACATTACAATCAATATTAAATTATATTAGCTGCATAATTTGAAATACAATCTATTTCTTTTCAAAAGAATGGAAAGCTTCACAATTCATTTATTTTTCTTGTGTCTGTTTTTTCTTAGCTGGATAATTTGAAACGATTTTATGATAACTTAGTCTGGAAGAAAAAAGGTCATGAAAAGGCGTATCTGGAAGCACTTAACGATTTTTATGCTGCAGTAAGTTGGCCTTCCCTGTTGCCCACTAGAGCTCTGTTCTCTGTTCCCAGTATGAACTCATACAACTAAAGTAATTTCATTATTACAAAATTTTTTCAAGATACACAAACATGTAAATGATTCTTTTATTTTTTTCCTAAAGAAAAATGCATGGGATATTGACCTTTCTAATGTCGCAAAAGATTTTTCAGATATTTCAATAGCATATACTCAATTGATGGAAGAAAATAGAAAAATTGGGATCGACATTGAAACCATAACAGGTTCTATCAATGACAGGTAATTCTTCAAATAATCTTTATTCTTATATAGGATATATAATATGTTAAATACAATAAACATTTTCATTTTGTGTTCCTGGGTGGTATGTGGTGTATGTGTTTAATCGTTACCTTACATTTTGTTTATGTCTGTTGCAAATGTTGCTCTTTGATCATTCTGAATCATTTAGAAATAGCAAAATATTAAAAAAATGATCTTATAAGGAGTTTATGCTCACTCATATCAGTTCCTTTTGACATATTCTCTCACTCTCAGAGATACTTTAAACTATGTTTCATCAAGCTCGTGATCTCCTTTGGTCAACCCTCAGTTCCTTCCTACAACTACTAAACTAGTTTTCTTAGCTCAGAAACCTACAGTCTTGATTTCTCTTTCTGTTTCAACCCTCATAGTCAGTGTTAAACATTCCACGTACTAATTATCTTTGCAATCTGTTTTGCTACTCCACCAGTGCCCAGGTACAAGCTATCATGTCTCGCGTGAACTCACAGCGACTCCAGAACTGGTCACATGCGATCACCAAGCCCCCTTCCTAGTCCATAACCACACTGTGGTCGGAGCAGTAGTTTTTATTTGTTTTTCCCTTAAGCATGATTGGTTCCCCTCCATGCCTACATTAATTTTAGCAGGGGTGTCATGACAAAAACCCCTCTGTCATGTGTCTCAAAGGGCCCCTGAACAGGCAGGCGTATTTGCCTTTGCTCATATCACACCTGGTCCACTCTTACTTTTGGTTTAAGTGCAGTGGCCTTAGTTCAGTTTCTCCCACTTTTCACCTTTTCTCCCCAGCCCATGTGGTATTTTTTGCTCTTTTCTCCTTTAATGTTTTTCCTTTTCCTTCTGTCAAGTCAATTACTGTTTATCCTTAGGATTTGTCTTAGGAATCAGTTCTGGGAAGCTTTTACTGACTTCCCAGTTAAATCCAATTCCTCTGCAATGTGTGTATATGGCACAGATACAACTCCTTCATACCTCTTGTTGTATCTGCAGTTTTGTGTTTGCAAATATTTGACTGATGTCTGTCTCAAAAAGATGGGAAGATCCATGAGGGTATATGTAGGCCATGACTACATTTTCTTCACCCCAGAATCATCTTCATTGCACACTGCGCCTGACACATCTGTGCTGTGCATCATCATTGCAGGAGGGCAGGAGGACTGGGGGAGGGAGGCAGTGTTAATATTTGGTCATTGTGCAGGATGTTTGCTGAAGTGTCTGATTGTTTTGTCCTAGGAAATGAGAGAATAAAGCCATTTGTATAATTTACCCATAAATTAAGCCTACTTTTTAAAGAGAGCAAAAGAGACATTGTTTTCTAAAGGATAACCTAAAATTATAGTTGCTAGTATTACTACATTGTATTTTTTTGAGGAAGAGAACCAGAGGGGGGAAATCTGCAAATTGGGCAAGCTCTGAGGAGGCCCCTCTGGAGGAACAGTGGACCGTGTGAGTGTTATTAGCCTTATTAGATTATCCCGTGGTGATGAGCAGCCCCGGTGCTCATGGGCAAGTGCATACAGGTGTATTTTATTACTTGCTTTACTGCTCAGCTGTGCCTGCCCTGTCTCTGCTTCATTCTCTCTCTCCATCTCAGACCCAGGATAGAGGATAGGACCTTCCTGGGGCATGTTGCTGTGATGTCACAGGTACATTAGTGAGATGACTTGATGGCTCTGGCTGGTTCCACAGAAAGAGGATGAATGTTACTTCTGCTTACACTCCATTAACAGAGCAAGTCCTATGGCCAAGCATGAAGTCAACAGGGTGGAAGTCTAATACTCTTAGAGAGACAGCCAATCATTGGGAACACTGATACCATCTGTCACCTGCAGTGGGAGTGTAGCCTAGATGTAGGGAAGGATTTCCGTGGCCATGCATTGTGCTTGCCCAGATTACATCTTAAGATGTCATTTGATTAATTTTCCCTCAAATTTTTGCTTGAAATTAAAAGTTAAATGGATGATTTTAATAGCAGATCACACAGTGCTGAACAGAGAATTAGTGAAAGATTAGTAAAATGAGAAAGTGATGAAGAGATGTGTAGGTGATTCGGATCTGCCATGTTTTGGTGAGGTTCCCAAGGAAGACAAGCAAAGGGCAGAGGCAGGGCTTGGGGATATGATCAGAAATCCAATGATCACAGCAGTTCATACATTCTTATTTTTAACTGGGAAGTCTCACTTTCCAAGACAGATAGCTAGGTATAAATGATGCAAAAATAATTATTCATTTCTAAATTTTATTTGTTTTCTTCCAAACCTTTCAAGTCATTTTATGATTCCCTGTTTGATACAGGTATTTAAATCTTATATTTTACTTTTTAACATAGTATGTAGTTGTTTTATAATCTACATCTAATAATTTGAGTATATGTAGTTTGTGATCTACTTCTGCATCTTATTCTGTTTCATGCTTCCTGTCTTTATTCCTTGTGGTCTTGTCTATTTTTACTCTGTGGTGGCCATTTTCTTCTGGAAATAATTTGTAGAGAATCTTTGAGTTCTAGGATAAAGTTGAGTTAATCATTTGTAGCCTTATATTTTTGAGAAGAGTTCTGCTTTTCAATTCGTGTTATTAGATATGCCCAATATTTTTTTTCATTTCCTAAGTCATGATACATACTCAAAACCCCATTCTATCAAAATTTCTAGTGCTTTCAGAGGAGCAGTATCTTGTATGATCATTTTAGCTCTCTGATTATAATACATATTTATTGTAGAAAATACAAAAAAAGTACAAAAATGAAAATCATTTCCATACATAGAGGTAGCCACAATTAATATATTACTGATTTTCATTTTTAGTGAACCGATGTTCCGACTTTTTTTCTAACCTGATGTAATAGAATTTTTGTCATACTGTTGTACAGATTTCAACCTCATTTTTAAATATCTGTATGAAAGTCTATATAAGTTACCCATGTCATAATCTATATTTAGGTTGTTTTCATTTGTATGACTTCTTATGAATACTGTGAATTTTTTGTTTAGAAATTTTTCTTAGCATCATTGCTTTAAAAAATTTTTTTTATTAAGGTATCATTGATATATATTCTTATGAAGGTTCCACAAGAAAAACAATGTGGTTATTACATTCACCCTTATTATTGAATTCCCCCCCATACCCCATTGCAGTCACTGTCCCTTAGTGTAGTAAGATGCCACAGAGTCCCTACTTGTCTTCTCTGAGCTACACTGTCTTCCCCTTTTTGTTCCTTCAGTTTTGCTTCGTTGTTATACTCCACAAACAAGGGAAACCACTTGGGATTTCTCTTTCCCTGCCTGATTTATTTCCCTGAGCATAATACCCTGTAACTCTGTCCATGTTGTTACAAATGGTAGGATTTGTTTCTTTCTTATGACTGAATAGTATTCCATTGTGTATATGTACCAGCATCATTGCTTTTTAAAGCTTAAAATAGATTTATAGAAGTAGATTGGATGTAATACTTTTAAATTCATAATCTCTCTCTAAAACACCTTTCCAGGAAGACTGTACCATTTATTGAAGCTGATGCGCAGACTTGTTCTGCTACGCACCTGTGCTAACATTGAATGCTGTGTATATTGTCTTTTCCAGCTTGATAAATGAAAAAATATACTTTCAGTATTATTTCAAATTTCATTTATTTGCTCACCAATAAGTAGAATATTTACACATCCTTGCTTGAAATCTGCTTTTTCTAAATAATTCTTGTTTGCTTCTAAGGAAGAAATGGAGGACTTAGCATTCAGAGAGGCAAAGCAGCTTTCTTGAAGTCCAACCACCAGGGCTGCTGGCATTTGAAGTCTGAATTTCTGCATGCAGATTCAGGAGCCGTCACCTTAGTTAGGTCTTTTCTTTGCAGTTTAATCTGACTTCAATTTAACTGATATTTAGTGAATGTTCAAATATTCTTGACATATATTGCTCCAAAAATGATGATCCTGAATAGTAGACCTACCATTAAAATAGTTCTCTTAGGACACAGGTAAGATTGTAGCGGATTTGTACAGTGGCACTTCTGGCTCTGTGGCTAGAGCTTAGAGCAAGGGCTTGACTTGACTTATGTGCCTGTGTGCCTGAGTGTCTGTGAGTGTATGCAGCTCACACGTGTTTTTATGTGGCAGGAAGTCAGGGACAAAACTTTGACGATAGGGAACTGTCAGGTAATGAATCATTTTAGGGGGATTGGATTATGCTGAAGACAATGGAAATCTGCTGAAGAATCTGTATGGTGAGATTTCTTTTAAAAAGACTACTTTAATGGTAATTGGATAAATTAAGGTTTGAATAACTGGTTTGATGGTGGTACCAGATAATAAATGAGAAACATGTGGAGGAAAAGAGGAAAGGTTGGAGCAAAACTGCTGATATGTTTGCTTTAGAATTGTGTATGGCATGATTCAAGTGTAAGTGTCTGGATGTCACTTGGATTTATGGTCTGAAACCGAGGAATGATGCTCATGTAGATAGAAGTTAGATGTTAAATGTAAGAGTACTTTAAACTGGCTAGCAAACTTTTCATGTTTATCACTTCATTTGCTTCTTAGAAATTAGAAATTTTATGAGAGAAATTTTGTGGGATAAATTATAATTACAGGCTACGTGTCAGTATAAAGTCTTACCAGGATGTGATAGGGCAGAATGAAGAAACATAATTAGTGACCCCTATGGACTATCCATGAACAGAAACAGCTTCCTTGGCCATGAAAAACACAAACTACTTAGAAAATAGGAAGAAAAAAACATCTCATTCACTGGAGAAGGAAACCTAAATTCAATTAAGAAGATGTAAATATGAAACTTCTATTAAGAAAACACTAAATACGATTGACATTTATTAAATTTGTTATTTTTAAACCTTTTTGTAGCTTTATTGAAGTATAATTGACAAAAATTGTATGTATTTATGGTTTACAAAATGATTGTTGTTATTAACACTTTATTTTTTTAAGAATAGTTATGTTCACAGCAAAATTAAGGGGAAAGTACAGAGAATTCCCATATGCCTCCTG